ATATATATAATCTTTTAAGGATATCACAAAGATTTCCAATATTGAAACTACATTTCTCGATACTATTTGAATGTAGGCTCTAATTTGATTGTTTGGAACCTAGGCTGTATACAAACCACACCCATATATATATATATTATATTATTGAACTTCGTAGCACCCCAAACCATTAAATTTGACATCTAATGGTAAGTAACTTAAAGAATGATTGTGACCACTTTGTAACATTGATAAATAGTATCATAATTGTCACGACCCCACCCTGACCCCATATCATACAAGCAGGAGGATGATTGAGTACGAGACTGCGACATGAGGTGGCAAACACCACTATAGTGTCCAATCCCAATGTTAAAACCATAATTGGCTATTTGATTTTTTTAATAAAGGAAAACTATACAATGAGACTAATTATTTTAAGATTGTCTGTAAAAATATTATTTATCTTTTGTACAAAAAGGTCACAACTATTCCCACTCATTAAAGGTCAAATTGGATGGTTTAGAGTGAATCATGAAATTCGAAAAATTTTGAGAACTTTGTACTTATTCAACAATGGTCATTGATTTCATGCAACAACTTTCAAAAACTATGTTAAGGCCATTTGTTTGATCCAAAATATACATTCTTCTCATTCTAATGAACAATCACAAAAAAAAAAAATTTGAAAACACAACCTAAAATGTATTTTTTTAGCCCCATTAATATAAGACATCCATTTTGGTAAGATGCTTAAATTAAGCCTTAGAATGATCTTTTTTCTTTTCAATTGTTTAAGATAATTTTATTATCATTAAATTAATAATATTAAAAAAAAAAAATTCGAATTCATAAAGATCTAGATCTTGAAATACATCAATGGACTCTAGATTCATTGTTGAAAGGCTCATTTTGACCATATATAGAGTACAAATTAGTTCGGTTTTTTTTTTGTTTAGATTGATTATTGCAATGAAAAGTGCAAAATTTTAAATCCTATAAATACTACAAATATGATTTTTTAGAAATGTGATTTTATGATACAACTATTGCACGAAATCACTACCCATTTTAAAATTTAAGAGAAGTGTAATTGTGACCCTATATAAAAGATAAATGGTCTCTTTATAGGCAATCCCGTTTATTTTTTATACAAAGAGGTCACAATCATTATAAACCGTTAGGATCTGAATTTGGGAGATTGAAAATGTGTCATTGATTGGACATAATATCCTAAATAGAATTTCTAAAAAACTATGACATACTTCCATCATTGGATTTCACATCCAATAACTAAAAATAATTATGGCATCCTTAGACCAAAAGTAAATGGTCTCATAATATACAATCCATCATTTGATGAAGCATCTATACATGATAAATTGAGCCTCAGATCTGTATGCTCTCACCATTTTTTGAGTGCACGCTCATCAAGCTTCTGAAACCCGTTCCTTGATGAATGAGGGTCTGCATCCCAGGATGACTGAGGTTCACCAACGTTTGTGGGAGTTCAACAACATTAAGAGATAAGCAGGTTATAGAGAAAAAAATCTACAGTCTAGAATATAATTCTCTTATTATCACAAAGGACTGAATAATCCACACTCTCAAAAGATAAAATAATGATTCTCAGATTTAATATTCAACTTACATGAGAAGAAATAGGTGTGTTACAAACAATAAAAATGGAGAGAGAGAGAGATGGTACTAATGAACCACAACAATAATTCTAACATATCTTTGCCAACATTGGTAATATTTTTGAAATGCAAGAATCATGGCTGGCCTCTTCAATAGCTGTGCATTATTCCCTATACTTGTCTTTCATACCATCCTTAATCTTTCATTCCTTTCTTCTTCATTCTTCAATATTAATACTAGCCATAAAAATAAAAAAAAGCATTAAATAACATGGCATTACCAACCATCAAACTGCTAAATTGAGGTTTATAACTGTGTTTTTGTAATGTTTCATTGATTAAATGGTAAGGGTAAATGTAAGTGGGAATAACACCTTTTTGCAAGAGCAAAGTCTCCTTGGAGGATGGCATAGGAGCAGAACCCATTGTAGGTTCAGTTCTGAGTATGGAAGAGATGAAAATGTTTGAGAACTCTCACGCTACTGAAGGCAGTTACGGAAGAATCGGATACCCTGTTATCACAAATGACATTTGCCCGGTAACAGATATATTAGCAAAATATACTGATCCAAGAGACTCAAGCAAAAGACACCAATGAGAAACAAAAACCAACAAGCATGAGTTATGACATCAAATAAATCAATGGTATTTCTCATGTGCATCACCTGCAATGCAAAAGTTATGTCTGCTTCGTCAACTTTTAATGCAACTCTCCGGAGTCTGTCTTCACGAGACTGACCCAATTTTAAGAGTCCCTGTATAAGTTATAGTAAAACTTATTCAGATCAAAAGTATCTCAAGAAATGAGGCATGGTATATGGAAACAGTAGAAGCTAAGGCTTTTTAAAAAAATTTAAGACCTGGTCATTAAGCACTCTGCACATGTTTGAAAACTCGGTCATGCTGGCCGGATGGATTAGGGCTGATTTACAGAAGTCTGAGTAGAATTTGTTAAGCTGTATGCAGGAAACAAGTTACTTATCTGAATCTCGTGAGTAATTAAGATAATGAAGATGAAGCATTTATAGCGGCATCAGTTACAAATCTTGGGAAGAGAAAACACCTTGCCAAGAGTGGTATCCTTGTTTCCTTGGCGAAAAAGCTTCACAGAAGAGCATAGGATGATCTGCACAGTGATGACTCAATGAAAAGTAATCAACAACCAAAAGAAATAGCATTTATAATTTTATACTTAATCTAAACACAAGATATGACATCTGATATCCAAATAAAAACAAGGGCTAAATTGAAGACCAGTATAAATCCAAGGGCCTTGTCATTATTTATAAGATAAAACAGAATATTTTAGCTTAAAACCAGTGATCCGACAGGCTCAAGTGTTTCAGATGTCAGTTCATCAAAATAAGCCTTGTTAAATATTTTTAAAACTTTAATAGCACAACTACTTGATTTTCAGCAGTAGAATATTTTCCTTTTCTCTTCTCGGCAGACAAATAAAACATGTCTATGTGCGTGTGTTTGTGTTTGTCACAGAGAGAGAGAGAGAGAGAGAGAGAGAGAGAGAGAGAGAGATGATAATTCCAAACCATAATGTTGCCTATGAAAATCCAAATTAAATTAGGCTGCTGGCATGATAGCAAACTCACCTGTTGGTGCTGTGGAAGAGATTGAATAGTGTCCACAATTATTGACTTGAACATTTTTGACAAGGCATTGACCATATGGTCAATTCTCACCTGCAAGAAGTATTAGTAGCAAGTATTAGAAAGATAATTAATGAGCATGATGCCGAAGAAGAAAACCTAATTACTGAAACTACACAAAACATATAAGTTTTGGATACATAACAACACAACATTCTTCATCAATATCCAACCATCCCCAGTTTGTATGTTTCCTATCTATCACCATTTTTTGTTGATATGCTATCACTTACAATGTTAATTTCCTGTTCTGTTAAGCTTTCACGAGCACGAGCAACCGGTTGAACAACCAAAGGCTTCTCATTTGAGAACGAACTTAGATTTGATATGGATTCCCTCAACTCTGCCTCTAGCATCTCAATGGCACCCCTGCCACATAACAAAACGGTATAAAACAAAAATGAAATGCCAAAAAGGACCGCAGAACTGAAGTAATGATATTTTGAATGCATAGAAAATTATAAGAATACATTGACTAAGTAGATAGATATTTTCAAGATTCAATTATCATATCAAACATTAGACAACAGATGGAAAGGGCAATGATGATTATCATAAGAAATTGATTCCGAAGCATTAACAAAGCAAGACCTGACTATATAACAGTTCATGGACTCAAGACCCAAATGTCAACTCAACAAAAGTTTGACTCAACTCTTTGGGTCATATACACTTCAATAACACCAAAAATAAGAATAGACAAAAATCATTTAGGAAATAAGAGAGAACAAAATATGCAATTAAGGATTGTTCACCAAAACAGAAGTAACTTACCAGCAGGAATGAAGAGCCTTTCTCATATCTCCAGATGCAGCTGCAACTTTCTAGTACAAGCCCAAGAAGTAAGTTATAAAGCATTCAAGTCCTGCATACATATATTAAATTGCGAACTATAAAAGTGTCTCATTAAATTAATTTGCAATGGTACATATTTCAAAGTTGGAAGTTCGATTTACAACAAAGCTACATAAACCTTCTTTATAGCCCATTCAACATACTGAAACAAAGATACTGATACAAGGATATGAAAGCTGTCGGTCAACAAATACTCCTAAACAACTACAGGAAGAAAACTTGCAAAATAAGTATGAATGTGCAATTTGCAGATATAACAAAAATAAAAACATATTTGAAGGTAGGTATAAGTGATTAAAATCCAATGTTCTTGCTTGAGAAAGAAAAACAATCCACTGAATATACAAATACAAGGTATTTACACTCAAATAATAATATATAGATGTACTAAGGCTCAAATAACATACAAATGTATTCCAAATACCACTTAGAACCTCATTTCCATGTTGCAAACTTAACAAAAAGGATACAAGGTGGGTCTTGATCTGTTAAGGTACTGACACTGAGACATTGCATCCCAAGTTCCAATCCTATAGCTTGACTACCCAGAGAAAGAAAAACTTAAAGAGATATGCATAACATAGATGATCCCCTGAATAAAATTGCTCTTGTGCTCAAAATTCGAAGCTTCCATTGTTTAGTCAAAGCAAATGCTTTCGGTTCATGGGTCTTATATTGGAAACAACCAGTTTCTCCTTGATCAGCTGGTCGACATGCATGTACATGTTGACCAGCTTTGAATTGTCATTTTGAGTGTTCTAGGATGAATTAAGTTTCACACACACATGCAGATGCATACATGCTTATATAATCAAACATGATACACAAATCATATAAACATAGACACATATAAATGCACACACACATATACATGCATGCAGGCAGGCCTGCATGCAACATACGTGAAACATATATGTTATTGCATGCACACAGGCACACAAGTGACATTTTTTAAATTGTAGAAATTAGTGGGCAGTATCATGACATTACAAGTTTATTTAGTTAAGTTATAATTATTGTCATAAATTTATGTCAGTTTGATTGGTGCATAAATGGAGAATCATACTGCATCTTTTAGCTTATTTAGATGAGCTCATGGATAGTAACCTTTGATAACTTAACCCACACACATGCTTTAGTATGAAAAGCAACTTTTAATCATTACTGTCGAGCCTTTACCGTTCCTTAAGAGCTCTTGCTTCCAAAAGGCTTGTGCTCCTAGTGAGATACCATCAATATTTAGTTTTAGAGTCCTCAGTCGTGATCCAGATCACCACCTCCTTGGGCCAAAGTCAGTCATCCCAATGCTACAAAACTAGGTCCTGGTTAGCTCCATAGAAATGATGGATTATGTAGTTATCCTGTCTTTTGAGCACCATACTGCTTGACATCACACCATGAGAGTTCTCCAATTCCTTTCCATCCATGAATCCCAGAATATGATTGCACAGTGAGAAAATATAATAAGAACGTAAAATATTAAAATTCTTCCAAGAATTTGGAATGTGTGAGGTTTGCATCCATTGCGTTCACCTCTTATTTATGAAATCTATTGGAATGGGTGAGGTTTGCATCCATTGCGTTCACCTCTTATATGTAAAATCTATAGATATTATGTAACAATCTTAAAATTTCAAAAAACAAAAAACAAAAAAAAAGGAGAAAAGATACTTTTAAATAGGTGATGGTTCGTATGAGCATGATCGTCCTTAAGGACCATCACTATTTTCAAAAGTTTTTACCTGGTTTAAGCTGATGCTTGCTGCTTTGCCACGTCCTTTAGTGGACGTGGTTTTCATATGTTAAAAACGGACTTTTAACGCGACACCTCAAGTATGAGGTGGAGCCTAATAAAATAATATAATAATATGTTATAAGAATTTAAATAGGGGAGGTGAGGACTCCCACCATAGAAAATTTTGAGATCTCTCTCTCTGGTCGAAACACAATGAACTCCTCTCTCGAGCCGAATTTTTATCGGAAGCTCCGTCTCAAACATTTGTGTGTAAGTGACATCGTCTTCCTGAAAAATAGTCTGTTTTTAATAAATAGTGATATTTTCGTCCAGGATCTTTATTTTATAAGTTTTGTGTGTAAGTGGCCTCATTATCTCGAAAAATAATTCATTCTTTTTAAAAATAAAATGAAATAATTATTTCTACTTATTATCATGAATTTTAAGCGCGATAAATTTCATGCGCACCTGACCTCATTATCTTGAAAAATAATCTTTTTAATAAAAATTGTGATATTTTATCTATGTTATAAATTTTAAATGCTGTAAATTCTTAGAAAAATAAATTTATTTATTTTTCTTGTCTATTGTTAGAAAATTTTAGATACTATCAAATTATTAGAAATAAATGTGATATTTTTGCTTTTAGTAAAATTGTGAGATTTCTTTCTACTGTTTTTAAATATTTAGACATTGTGAATTTCATGTGCAAATGCTTGCCTTATTATCTGAAAAATGATATTTTTGCATTTGATTATAACATTGTTGTGAAATGTTTATTTGCAAATTAACATCTCATAAATTGTGATAATTCCGTATTCTTGAATTTCTATAAGAGTTTTTCTGTACATATTAGATTGGCAATTATGCTAGAATGTCTTTACGAACTGCTACGTTTCTAAATTTGAGCCCAAAATATTTGATTGGTTGAAATGTTATTGAAAGTGACTGTTATTAATGGTGTCAGTGAGATTCATATTAATGATTTTAGTGATATGTTGAGTACATGATATTTGCTGCTTTCGAATGTTTAAAGAGATTTAGAAATAATTTAAGTATGCAAGTGGACTCATCCGGTTCGCCGGTGAGGTATAAGTGGACA